AGTAAATTTCTTTATTCACGCACGGGATATGATCGATTCATTGATGAATATGTAATTTTCAAGAACATCCATCCAAAATGTAAAACCTTGGGAAGAAAGGAAATCCTTTATTGCTCCACATCCTTCCTTATTGAACAGGAATTCAACTTCGATTACCTGTAACATAAAACAAAATACATGATTACGTACTCGGATACACGATTATTATAGTGTGTTTGTTCAAAATCACTATGACAGTAGTGATAGCTACTCAAATACTGCACTTGTTTTAATGCAAAACCTATATTGCTCAAAGTTAGATGAAGGCAAATGACAAATAAATAAATCTGTCATCCAGAAAACTAGTATCCCAGTTTAGAAAGCAAGAAGTGAGGAATGGACCGAAAGGAGATAACTCCATGCAGGAATGATATTTTTGGCATTAAATTCGAATTTTGAGCGTTCAAGTCCATTTTTACACTAGTAACATAAAACATTGAAACAATATTGATCCAATGTTGATTCAACTTATGGACGTTGAACCAAGTTAGAGTCAATGTTGATTAAATGTTATATGCCACTAAGGTAATATTACATGATGAGGAATGTCTCTAACAAGGAATTAATTTGGAAACCTAAAGTCACCTCACACTCTCCAATATATATATTATTTTTTCACTGTCCAGAAGCTCTTTTCTTGCAGGAAGTAGTAACTCAATGAAAAAACATTTCGTGATGAGGCTGAATTTGAGGAAAAATCCATTGTTTCTGATATTGATCTGGAGGATCTCAGGGAGCTCTAGCGGTTGAAGAAAGGTATATGTGAGGTACATGTCGTGCCAAAGAAAGGGGAATACAAACTCCACAAATTCGATTAATTGCGAAAAAAACGTTGTTCATTGTTGGTTTGAGTATTTGAGAGATTAACTGTATTCCACGTTGCTAACCTCAAACTTTTTTCGTGTCGCCCTATTAAGCCAGCATATTGACGTCAGTAATGAATATGCAAAAAATAGCAAGCTTCATTTAATATGATGCGCTGCCTTTGAGCTCTGTACAATTTATTATTATTATTATTTACAATGATTTCCGCGCCCAGAGATCCTACGAGGAAGCCAAAAGATGTATCCCCAACCAAAACTACAGAAGCTTTCTTACTGATTAAACTGATTTTTCTCATTTTTCTTGCTTGAGTCTAATAATACAAGTAGGGTCTGTGAACTGTGAAAGTACTCTGTATTTTTCTCCCCATAATGCCGGGCTTCCCAACCTTTTTCACGCGTGGCACCAAAAACCACGAACATACCATGCAGGACCCCAAGCACTAGATGAACTTCGAACTTCGGCTTCTCCCATCTAACCAAAAAGAAACACTACTTGGAATTTCGTTGCCGGTTCGGGACCTTAAATATGATCTTGGCGACCCCAAACGGGTCGCGACCCATGGGTTAGGAAGGGCTGTCTGAAGGATTCTTGATATAAATTTCTTAACAGTTTGAATGAAGAAATCGTTCAAAAGTTGTTAGCTAATGATGAGTACCTGGAATTGTATCCGATGGAATGGTATCGTTTTAAGTACTTTCAACTCGATGGACTCAACATCGAGGCTGAAGAAATGGACAGTTTTCACACCGATGGCATCAAGGAGCGTATGCAGCGGGTAGCACATAACAGATGCCTTATGGTGTTCGGCTCCAGAAAATCCAGTTTGCCACAATTCCCTCCAATTTTCAATTAGCTTGAAAAACATTCCTTGCTTGCCGATTCCACCTGATATGCTGATCATGGGATTCCCCTCTTGATACATGTATTCCATGACTTCCTGTAATAAATATTGTGTCACAGCTGAGTAATTCCACGCTAAAATCAACCCTAAGGCCAAAATTAAAATTATGCAAATATTGCTTACTATGAGCATACACTGAAATATAGATATCAACGGTATATGATTGTACAAACAGAGCGTTAAAATTGCCATAGTTCCAGAAAATGTGAATAGTCTTAAGTGTCACCACCTGGATCTGCTTATTTTATACCATTTTTTTTCATGGTTATTTTTGGCGTATTACAACAGAACTCCCAGTAGTAAACCAATGCAATCGCGAACTATATTATTTTCAGATATACAGGTATTTAGGTGCAATCTCATGCTTCTTTCTCTCATGTATTTGAATAGGCCAGGCCTTAGGTAGAATATTGGAAATATTTTATGTTAGTCACACAAACTTTCCATCAATGCCATCACTGATGGGGATATATCCATGAACGTAGCATTTTTCTCATACCCCAGGTCCGATTTCCTTCTCATGGATGTTTCGTATTTTTGATGGGACGCTCTCTATGGTCAGAAAGGGCGTGACTAACCTAACATTTTATTTCGGGACTAACATAGCATGTGCCCAGTTAATAAGTTTCTCTAGTTCTATGCATGCTTATCATCAGGTATATGTACTGTGACAAATTATCTCCAATATATCCAGGTATGTTAATGTAAATCATTGGCAAACGAAGCAGATGGAGAGAAATGCAAAATAGAGCGCGGAGATGCCAAGAAAAGAAGACTCTTCATTAGCGCCAAAATGTAACGTTATCTATATATTGGGTTGGAAAGAAAGTCTTGCAACACTTTATAAAACTATTTATGAAAAATTTCAATGAAATGATGGGCGGGGCTTTGCATTTGTTGCAATGTTCAATGCATTGCTGGAATGTTCTCGAAGCTTCTGCCTTCGTGGTATATAAGGCGGCTTCTGCCATTAGTTGGCAGCCATGGCTCCGATCGAACAAGCAACTCTCCGCCCCATCGTCTACTACGAGTTCCTCCAAGGACACACTGCGAGAGCCGCCGCGGACAACATCTGCGCTGCATTCAAGAGCAACGTCGTCCACTATTCCACAGTGTCTCGATGGTTCAAACGCTTGGAATCTGGCGACACGACCTTCGGAGATCGACCACGCTCAGGACGTCCATCGACAGTCGATGACGAAGCCCTGCGGAACGCCCTCAACGCGAAGCCGAACGCGACCACTCGCGAATCGGCGACAACACTTGTCGTTGGGAACATGTCATAGACAACAATGGTCATTACATTGTAGACTGAAATTACATTTCAATAAAGTTATAGCATTTTGAAAAATTTGCGCAGAGTGTTGCAAGACTTTCTTTCCAACCCAATATATAACGACGTCCTATACATAACGACGGGCATCTGCTTGCATGACCGGATTTCGTCCGATGAACTCTTCCTGGGTTTCTCGACCGATTTCCAGCATCGATAACTCATTCGATTTGTAAGTTTCTGCAGATGATCCGACGCATTTTAGATTTTTTTTTCTGCTTTGACCTGACCAGGATGACCTTTTCATATTATTTTTTTTAGCCAGATTACTGAATGACAAATCATTAAAAAGGCCTGAATTTACTCTGTTAGAATTCGTTTTTATTTCGCAAAACTGTTAACATTTGATCCTGCTGTGATCAATCTGAGTTGAGGGTGCACTGGCGCCATCGCTGTATAGTGTAGATAACTGCTACCGAACGGCACCAGTTTTCTAGGCTTGACATCCCATCAAAGCTCAGACTTCTTATTTGAACTGAGAAGTGTTCGTCGTTTTCCCCTCACACGTAGGAATATTATAATATCGTCTATCGGCATTAGCACACGTTTTATTTAGGTTTTTGCTAACTTTTTCTCACGGAACTGATGAGAAAAGAAAAAAGGATCGCACCACAACATGTGAGACTAGGTAAGGCTGAATGAGCTGCTTAACCTAGATCCATTGTAGGCTTGGGTGCCACGGATATTCTCCTCATTCTGCCCAACAACGTTGTGTCAACATAGACAACAAGATGAAACGTTGAGACAGTATTGAAGAAACGAGTTGCATCATTCAAGTACTAAACTTCAGTTCTGATCCAGTTAATGAAGTTACTCGGATGGACCTTTCCGTGATTTTATTGCACTTATTACAGCAATTTCAAGTTCTAATCAATATTAGCGCCCGCTTAGGCTCAGAAAAAGGAGAAGGTAATGCATAATGCACCTTGACAAGTGACATAATTAGCACAACGTGAGACATGATCCTATTTTCAACGTTGGACTGTGTTTCATTTTTACATTGCAGCAACATTGAATCCATATTTTACACATATTTATGAAAACATTGCTAAGTGCTGTGTGCATGTTGTGCATGTTCATGTCTGCCTGAGTAAGTTTTGTCTCTCTGGGCATTCACGGACGTATTAGCCTTTCTTAACCTAAATTTCCAAGTTTTTTTTCCTGAGGAAAATTATTCATTTGTCATGCCACTAAAACGTCAACAGAAACAACTAGGAAATACCCTCACCCCGATGATCGTAGGAGAAAGTGAATCACGCGTGAAAGTCTCCAGTTCAAAGATCCATTGTAGGCTTTGAGCTAACACTGACAAATGGTTGAAATATTGAGACACGGTTGAATTTGAGAATTTAAGGAAGAAAACGAAAAAATCAATTAAATGCTGGCTGTTCGTAATGAACCGAATCTTCAACACATTGAGACTGCATTGCCGAAGTCGTTTAGAAGCTATTAGGTACAAATTCGTTTTGTTCACATTTTCTTTCGTCACGGTCTTAATATTGTTTCGAAATGGCGTGATCCACATCATCTCGCCGGAAAATAGGTTCTTGCAATTGGCGCGAGATGACGCATAATCGCCAATTTTGCGGTCCTAACCCTGATGCCTAAAAAGTGTAGTTCACTGCGGTCTTACTGCGGTCAGTACGCGATATGTTCCCAAGTGCAACTTGAGAGAAAGCTTTGGAATTCCTCTCGAGATCCTTAGAAGGAGGTAATCCGGCAGGAGACTACGGGTACTTCTGGCCAGAGGGTCCGAAAACACATGGCAATTTTACCTACCTAACTTCAAAGCGCACCAAATGACTCGGACTTTGATATATCTTTCGTATCTCTTTCGAGAATGGCAGTACATTAACCGGCCTGCGAGGGTGTGTTTAACTTTCATCCTGCGTGGGAGATAAACTACGGGGTGATGCCAGGCACGTACCTCCCTCGCTGGATAGAATCAATTGCTTTGTTAAAGTATTAAACTCGAGTTTTGATCCAGTTAAAGAAGGTACAACCTCAGAAGGACCCTTCCGTGGAATAACAACACTCATTAGAGTACTCTATTCAATATTAGCGCGCGTGAAGGCTAAAAAAGGGGAGATAATGCCCAATCTTCGACAATTCCACGCTTGCACAATGGGACACATGATCGAATCAACTTTGTTTTATTACAACATTGCGGCAGCACGGAATCCCCCTTTTACCTACAGTTGTGGCAACATAGCTACGTTAAAAATTCAACCCTCTCTCAACCTCCATCAGACGTTCTTGGCCAGATGGGTTAGCTTACAAATTATAGGGTCTTGCCACATGGAATATCATTGCGACTGAAATTACGTGTATGTAGTATATGCTCATGGCTGTCTGATTCAGTTTTAGTTCTGTCCCATGGGCCCCTCACGGACATGAAACAGGTTTTATTAATGAGTTTTCGGTGTTTTTCTTCTGAGGAAAATTATTCCATTATCCTGACACATGATTATAGGCAGAGAAAGAGCTGCATGGTGCCCTCGGCAGAATATCGCAGGAGAAAGCGAATTGCGCGTGGGAGTCATAAAGCTGTCATGGTAAAGAAGACATTAGGCATTGGCTGGGCCTGGGACAGTTAGGAAGTACGTTCAAATGTGATTATTTTCAATTGAAAATTTTATTCCCAGCCATCGTCATCCAGTGAACACAATCGAAATTCACCGTCCCATCATTCCGTGCGTACACGGGCTTTCGACTAATGTATTATACCATGACCTTTGGGATACCATGGATTTGAATGCACAGACTGTGCCAAATAATTGAAGTTTTCTCAAATTTCCGACCTTTTCCCCGATAAACTCTCATGATTCATTTCAATAATCCAGGAATAATAATTAAAGGAACATAACTTACATGTATAACCTCATCCTTTGGAGAAAGACAATGAGGAGATAACCAAGCATTTCTTCTCATCTCTGACAGTTTCTTGAAAAGATGAGGGTTTGGCTCAACGAGGAGTCCAGTCCATCCGTACTTTTTCTCCAGATAAAGAGTCTTAGAAAGTGTTTGCCCATCCAGGGCTCCTGCTTCCACGAAGAACTTCCCATGACGATCCTATGGAGAACAATCAATTATGATTAGGATGTACCTTATTAAAGAGACATCGGTTATGAATATGGTGCTATAGTATGGTGCTGGTGTTGTAAAAATCACTTTTCACCTGCTCTGCAATTAGATAGCAATCTACGATGGGAAAGCGGTAATTAATTTCGTGTCCACTTCTACTACGTGTGTTGATGCACGAACTTTGACCCAATGTAGGAGTGAAACATTGGCGAAATAATACAGCCGCACAAATCCATCGAACAAAGGCTTACCCAGTGTTCAATATTACTTCCACCAGAAGTGACCCTCTTGGGCCTTTTGAACCCATTCGCACAAAGGAGAGAACTATTTCTCACCGATTCGGGGAAAAATTCTGCAATGATGTTCTGAGTTGACATCCAATCGCTTGGATCTTCCACATATTGGCTCTGCATGCTTTGCGAGACTTTGCGAGGAGGAATTATTTTTGGAGGCTCATATCCAACCTGTCCTGAGATTTGAACTGTTGTATCGTTTTTCTTGCTCACATTCCTTCCATTCGCATTACGTACCACATTTCTTACATGATTTCTGTTTCTGGATAAAGACCTTGAGCGAAGTATCAAAATGACAGCTCCAAATAGCAGAATTAATGATATGACTCTTAGAGGCTTGGATAATATGAAATTGGTTTGATTCGCCATGATTTTCCTAATGTTGAGAGAAAAAGCAATGTCCATTGAAAAAGACCATATGTCCGTTTTTAGCGTGAAAAATAATAAGGCAAAATAACCACATATTAATGAGACCGTTGTATATTGTTCGATATGTATAAATGGAACACAAAACAAATTCGATGGGATTGCTGAATCAACAATAGTTTTCGCCCTTGGGTCACATGAACTCACAATTCTTATCTCTTGAATTGCAAAATTGACATCTTTAAAATGACTGTAGACAAATTTTTCCCCAATGTTAAACAATTACTACTTGACTTGACAATTTGTTATTGTTCATTGCTCTTAATATCCAATTAAAGTACTTCCATTTAAATGTTGACCTAATTGCCAGTAATAGGGTGATGTTCTCTCGTCATCACCAGATATAAACCACCTAACAGAGTTTCGTGGTTATTAAAGAATAAACTAGCGGCCTGCGGCCTCTACGCTGGCCGTCTGATAGGCATACATTTGAATTGCCTATTGTGAAGAAGGGGGTCTTCCGCCCTTTTACAAAAGAAGAGAAGGAGGAAATATACTGTTTACTCCTCCTGAGGTGTTGAAAAGAGAGTTGCAGGAATCTCATCCTTTTCTACTATAATATTTTCCCCACCTTTCTCTTCCCTTCCTAATGGTCTGTTGAAATGAAATGAAACAATGTTAATTTTTTAAAATAACCTTTGCGAATTTGGCTTTCAGGTGGTATATGTTAATCCTACTGTAATATTGCATATTGAAGGAAAGTGTTTTGATTATTTCAATTTGATTTTATGACTTAATTACTGACCATATTATAAGGAATTAAGGAAAAATACCTGATTTTGTCTAATACTCAGTATAAAGTAAGAATAATGAAATGTTATCAGTGTAGGGATGGGACAACCCTGTAACCAACTGGGGTACTTAATTACTGACCATATTATAAGGAATTAAGGAAAAATACCTGATTTTGTCTAATACTCAGTATAAAGTAAGAATAATGAAATGTTATCAGTGTAGGGATGGGACAACCCTGTAACCAACTGGGGCAAACACATAAAACCAAATCCATTAAGATAATGAGCAAGTCACACCATCGTGATGACTTTAAATAAATTAAGTCGAGGCCAACACCGAAAGGGTAGCCAATGGGACAAAAGGGGGCCAAGTCGAATATCCAATCCGAACCTCGGATTTTGGGAGGAAGGTACCCTGGCTCCTCCCAGAGGTATCGAGGATATTAGCCGGAGACTTGGATCCTGGAGTCAGTCGCTATTTGGAAGGCACCATTGTGACCTTACCATATCCGGAGCTGACTCCAGGACAACCTACCATCGTAAAGGTTAGCCCTGTCCCTTGGTTGTGTGAGNTTAGCCGGAGACTTGGATCCTGGAGTCAGTCGCTATTTGGAAGGCACCATTGTGACCTTACCATATCCGGAGCTGACTCCAGGACAACCTACCATCGTAAAGGTTAGCCCTGTCCCTTGGTTGTGTGAGGTGTGTGGCCCAAGTTAAAGTTAGAGTAACTTAGAGAGAGAGAACAGTAATATAATTAACCTTCAGATTCCAGTAGAATTTGCCCCAGTTGGATCATTCTCCCATCCAATATTAAGTAATAACTTAAATTCTTTAACAAGTATTGTGAAGAACTGTGTTTTCCTTATTTCCTTTCCTTTTTTTGATATTTCATTAGTGTCTTTATTTTAATAAAGTTAAGTAATTTACTTGGAAAGATCACGAGGGTTTCCATTTCTCCAGAATTTCTGTCTGGAACGGGACAGGTGACCAATTAATATTGATCGCTTGTTACGTCACAGTATCTAGCGGGCCATCGCCTACATCTCCCAGATGTAGCGCGCGGCCCGCCAGCGTTGTGCTACCTGGGGCTGCTACAAGGAACCGTTGGACAGGTAGGGAGTGCATTGGAAAAGGATCTCTTGATGAAGGAGCGTGCAGTGAAAGACGACACAATCAATTATGGAAATTACTTTTCATTTAGAAAAATGTGTTTGTGAAAGAAACCAAAAATCCGAATGATTCGAAAAGGAACTACATTCTTTCTGAAGCAAGTACAGGGTGTCTCAAAAAATGCTAGCGCTCTAATAATGACATTTCTGATAATATATTGCACTTGATTTTAAAAAGATTTCGCTTGAAAGCGAAGAGATTAAGCTTCATCTGCTGAAAGCGTCATTAAAAGAAAGTATTTCTGGTTCGTGTTCCTGCTCTGGCTTTAGAGATTGAGAGAGATGGGTCGCCAACAATATTCTATCACTCAATGAATCCTGTGGCAATTTCTCTGAAAAATGCCCAAGAACCAGGAATAGAAGGAAGAGTTTCCGGGCAGTACACTTGAAACACACTGCATTTTTCGAGTCCTTCCATTTCCGGCTTCTCATGTTAAGGTTCTTTGCAGTGGTTCCTCAACATGTCTACATTTGACTAAGGTAAACCTTGTCTTTCCAAATCTCATTTTTGAGTTCGATGACCTTAGGAAAACCTATAGCATTGAAAAGCCTTTTCTCCTATGTTAACCGCTACAATATTTTTCATTCAGTTGTAATATAACACAAGAAAAAACAATTCTTGCAGCTTTACATTTTTTTTAGACACCCTGTACAAAGAATTGTATTACATTCATACACGGAGATTCTTGAGGTTGAAGTGCAATCGTTGAAACTCATCATTATGATACGATCATGTCAGAACTCTTTGTGGCTTTCCACGGTCATTTTCGCCCAAAATGCCGTGTCACTGTTGAGACAAACGACTGTAGTTTATATGCGTTTATTATCTTGAATGCAACTGGATGACTTCATTATCTTGCTCTGGTTCCCGTACGATATGGATATCGACCCGAAGCTCATTTGTTTGCATCCGTGGGTATTGGCATCCCCATATTTCATCATTTGGTGCGTTATTAGATATATTCGACTTGAAATCCTCACCGATTTCGGAGTACTCGTGAATGGTATTGCCTGGGCTGGATTCAGATGATTCACTTTGCAAATCCAGGATTCCCCGTGGTTGAAGACATCCTTCTTCGAATTCTCCAGGTGCCATCAGTTGCAAGTAATCAGGGTGCGTTTTGAAGTGCTCGGCGTTCATTTCCTCGTATGGCTTGTTCAGCTCCAAAATACGCTGCAGAAAAAAAAGGGAAACAAAACCTGACATTTTGATCTGAATACTCGCACGCGATTGGTACGAGCATCCTTAGTTATAAATGAACTACAAGTCTAAGACCGTAGAATCATCGTTCGGTACGTGAGTCGTGTCTTTTACATCCGGCTAGTAAACCTAGCCGTATGGTCGTGAAGGAGTACTAAACTATCGACATTAGGAAGCACGCATGAAGTGGTCATTAAAAAGAAGCTCATATTTCCTTTGTTTTGCGAGTTAGGATATTAGTGGTCTCACATCGGTTCACTGGCGTAATCAGGAGCCTCCATGCGATAGCCGGCTTGCAGACGCTGGATGAGTTCTCCAAACGTCATGCCTTGATATGGAGTCTTTCCAAGACTGAAAATCTCCCAGAGCGTAATTCCGTATGCCCAAACGTCTGATTTGCTAGTATAAACCTTCTCATGGATGAGTGATTCCAACGCCATCCATTTGTAAGGTACTGGACCCTAGAAGAATCAGGTACAGGGACAATGTTAATATTTTATCAAATGATGTAACGAGGAAATGTCCATGTGAGGAACTCACATCTCCTTTCTTGACATACTGATTGTTTATATTTGTAAGGTACTGGACCCTGGAAGAATCAGGTACAGGGACAATGTTAATATTTCATCAAATGATGTAACGAGGAAATGTCCATGTGAGGAACTCACATCTCCTTTCTTGACATACTGATTGTTTATTTGGATATCCCTGGCAAAGCCAAAGTCTGAAATCTTCACGACGTTCTCTTCTGCCAGGAGAATGTTTCTGGTCGCCAAATTTCGATGGACGATCTACAATATCATGACATATTTCTTACCTTTCATCTAATTTCTATTTCAAGGTCTCTTTTACAAGTGCGTCTTTTGTTGTTTTGTGTTGTCTTTTGTTGTTTTCCATTCTGAGCTTCAGGATTTATTTATAGTTTTCGAATTGCAGCGAAGCTTGGTGATTGTGAGCACGAGGCCATGATACAATAGCACTCCCGTTCGAGAACAATAAAAAAATATTTTGGTAATTTTTTTTTCCGGAAAGGCTTCGCTTGCAATATGCCGGAGATAGGGTCAAGAGGGAATTAGTTTTGATGGGAAAAAGTGTATTGTTCAGTATTTCCGCTTTTACTTTAGTTGGAAAACCTACGTAATATTCTGTGATCCGATTAGTGGTATTGGTTCAGCCATTTTCTCCAGTGCAGAAATGTCTTGAATAATCAAGCTTTAGAAATACCACACCTTCCTTGAACTCAAGTACTCCATGCCGTAAGATATCTGGTAGGCCCAGGATACCAGATCGCCCCGAGTGAAGGACACAGGGAGAATAATCCCTTTTGAGATCACCCCTTTTTTCATTTTTTTTGTTTCCAATCCTTGTCCATGTGCTCTTCCTGAAATAAAATGTCATTTTAATGTTATTTAAATATGGTCTAATTCAATTTAATGTGTGCCATTACGTGATGAATCGTATGAATGGGCAAGCGTCAATTCAATTTGCGAAAGAATTTAATTTGCGGAATTTATAACAATTATAAATAGAGAAATCTCCAAATTTGTTTAATCTAGTGCAGAAAATAATACGGTCAGGATTTCCCATTAATAAAGTTCATCAGTCAACCAGCCTTTAATTTCAGGTTTAAAACGGTAGAATCAGGAGCACAATGATCTGGGATGGATGGAAAGAAAAAGTTATGAAACAAAAGAAATCATGAACATTGTCTGAAACGTAAGAAAATAATTTGAGAATTGGAGATGAAAGTGGTTAACAATGTCATGCAAAGGCTTCTGAAATTCTGTCGTCAAAGGCAAGCAAGTCTAACTGATTCTTTGTTGATTCAAATTGAGCCGTGAGTATCATGTGAACTAGAACAAAATCAGATTCTCTTCTTTCTTTAATTAGATGTACGTGGTATATTGTGGCAAGCTGGAAAAAATTGAGGTGAACATTCTCTTTTTTTTTATTTACCCAACAGGGGCAACTCTCGAATCATAAAATTCCAGATACCTGGAAGCAGGCAGACGTCAGTTTGAAGACACTGCATCCCAATCCAGGATTTATTACCAGTGTGATGATGAATTTCCTTCTTAAAGTACGGTCGATATTTTCTCAAAAAACGCTCCAGATTCCCATGCTGACAGTATTCCATGATGACCATCAGATCACCTGCGTGAAAAGTCACCATGTGTTTTTGAGGGGACAAATAATTACAAGGTGATTC